GTGCGGGCGAAGCTCCCGTTCATCAGCCTTTCTATATCTTCGGTATTGCATGTGTTCGTCCGTGGTCACTGCTGGCGCCTATGGGCATGTGTAGCATCTAAGACCAACTTTCCGTTCGGTTGTTTTAACCTTGCTGCTTCTCTGGGTGCAGTTGCCTGTGTCGAGCTGTTATGTACCTGACACTCGCCCTCAACACGCTGTATCTTTTCTCTTTGAGCAAAAAGTGCAAATCGAGGCTGAGTAGAAGGTTACGGTTATGTGGAGGGCACTGCGCTTTGCAGTTGGAATGGATATGGCAGTTGTTCATTGTTGGACCTGTCTATAATAGTGTACTGCAATAGCCGTGTCTGGGGTGCCTGTGAACTGCTGTCGTACTTGGTTCTTCCATAATCCCTGAGAGAGGGAGCGGGAGGGATGAAGGGAAAAATAAGAGCTTACCTGGCGGGATATTCATTTCGGTGTTGCTCGTACGATTCGGTGGGAGTCGTGTGAAAGCAAAGATATGGAGGAATACTTACCTGGCCGATGCGTTGCTCGTCCTATCGATGAAAGTCGAGTGGGGAAGTCGCGAGGTGGAGGACTGTTGGCTGCAGGTTGGTCGAAACTCGACTGCGGCCACAAGTCACTAGTTACCAACTCGCCGTTGAACCGATTCTCCACGGTTGTGCAGCACAAACCATGGTTGGCTGTAGGACCGCGTAGGTTGCTGCGTCAGTCTGCAGGGTGTGGTTAGCCAGCCCTACTGCATGAGCCCGCTTGCTTTGCCTGTGGTGCTTGGCGGGCTGCTAAGCTCGTTGTGCGTACGGTGCGTGAGCTACTTACCTTGTGGTAGCGGTGGAAGGGGTCGGACAGCTACGGAGGCTACAGGTTTACCAGCGTTAGCCGGTGTGCTATCGGGGGTCGGCGTCGGGAAGTAAGGAAGGGGGTTGTCGTATGCTGCTGCTGGAGACTACCACTGCTGCGGGGAGCGTGCTGCTGCTAACCGTTGCTGGCCACCGCTGTTGCATTCTGCTGGTGACTGTTGGTGATTGCTGCCCTTTCTACTGACCGCCGCTGAATACTACTGATGCTGCACATAAGGACTGACACAGGGTGTTGGACAACTGTGGTCGGACTTAGGGAAGGAGCTTGGTGCTACTAGGTGGAGGCTCGTCAAAGGGGGAGGGGGTTACTTCGGCATTTGGGGTTCGTTGACCAAGCTGTCAGTTGGCTACCATTGCGGAGCCCTCAGGCGCATCCAGACTTCAAGGCCCTCTCATTGTGAGTTGAGTTGGCCCTCCCCTGTATCTCGAGAGGCTGAACATTTATACTTCTATCTTTCTCAGTCTAAGTCTAATCTTTCGGTTATGAGGGAAAGGCGGCAGGCGGGATTGAAACCCGTAACCCGTGCCAAGGCCTCTGTGGGAGGTCGCCCCACCGATTGCGGGAGCTCTGCCGGAGCCCAGACGGGGTTCTGGAGGCAGAGAACACTCAGGTATAACCCTCGATTTACGCGTGTGATCCTATCACTAAACTATATTATCCTATTGCTATTTGACCTGACTGTAAGTATGACTAGAAAAGATAACTGTATTTCCTTGCTTGTTTGAATTCAGGACAATGATTTGCAAAGTAAACTGACAAATATGTATTGGTTTTATCGAGATTATCCATGTGAAGTCAGAAAACACAGAGTTGTCAAATATGTTGCGGAGGCTGAGCGAACGCATAAGTTGCAGGCTGCTCAGTCTTTCGCACTTGTTTTACTTGTTATTTGGCAAGTTAGACTACCCATAAGTTGGGTAGCCTAGTTCTACGCTGTATGTAATTGTATGGGCTGGTCAGGCACAACATAAGTTATTGTGCTTGGTCATATGCCTTTCGTCGTTTGTTCAGGCAAAGGCTGGGCTCCTCATGAGTTGAGGTAGTCAGTTTTTTGGGTATGCCGAAAGTTTAGGCTGGTCAGTCTCACCATAAGTTGGTGGACCCGGTCATACGCCTTACGTCAATTGTCTAGGCAGAAGCTGACCACACCATAAGTTGGTGTGGCTCAGTCTTATGCTTTTATTGTTCCAGGCGAGACTATTCACACCATAAGCTGGTGTGGTCAAGTCATGAGCCGCCATCACTAAGAGAATCAGAGTATACAAAGTGATACATCATTTATTATGTATATTCATGGCAGGCTGGACGCCATAAGTTTGGCGATTCAGCCATATAAGCCGGTAGCAGATAAAGAAGAGGGAAAGAAGATGAACAATACAAAATGGTGTGGTAACTGTGGGCAGGCTGACTCACCCATAAGCTGGGTAGTTGGCCCTATGTCCTTGATAACACGGAAGCAGAGAGATATATAAAGTCTGACTATTTTCCTTTTCTAATTATATCTGACGTTTGCGTGGGGATCCTCATGAGTTGAGGTGACCTGGCCACTCGTCTGAAGACAGAATCTGATTGTGAAACTTATCTATTGATGTAGTTGTGTTGCGGAGGTCGGGCGAACACGTAAGTTGCGGGTTGTTCGGTCATACGCGCTTGTTGTTGTTTGGGCGGGACTAGACTACTCATGAGTTGGGTAGCCTGGTCTTATGCTATATGTCACTGTATGGGTTGGTCAGGCACAACATAAGTTGTTGTGTTTGATCATATACCTTTTGTTGTTGTTTAGGCAGAGGCTGGTCCCTCATAAGTTGAGGAGGTTCAGTTCTATGTGTATGCCGACCGTTCAGGCTGACCAGCCTCACCATAAGTTGGTGCGGCCGGTCATACGCCTTATGTCGATCGTTTTGCAGAAACTGGTCACACCATAAGTTGGTGTGGCCTAGTCATATAAATTGGCAGGTCAGTCACATCCATAAGTTGCGTTGGCTGACCCTATGCCTTATGAAGGAAGGGCAAAAAGGGAATAATGAGGGTTTTTGAACGAACTATGTGACCTGAAAAAGAACCAGAGGTTTGGTGAGAGATGTTGCACTCACCTATGCATGTGTTTGAAGATCATCTCTGGAGTATTCTCTTTGATAAAGTAGTTAATGTAGATGCTCGCCAAGTGCTGGAGCCATAGGTAGATCAGATGGGTGATGGGAGGGAGAACTTGGAATGAAGATAGAACTGACCCGCTGAATCATCAAGCAAGTGTCAGAAGTTAGTCCCAAGTATAACTTGCTTTGTCTTTTCGTATTTTCAGCTTCGTATAAATCTTTGCAGCCTCCTGTTCTTACGGGAAGCGCTGCCGAAATTTCTACAAACCTGAAGGAGTTAGTCATTTTTGGACTTATAGAAATTCTGAAAAGACACTTTTTCTACGGGATGCGCTGCCGAAATTTCGTAGAATTTGGGGAGTTAGAATATTTTTCAGCTAGGAGTTACTTTGCAAATCTATCCTGATTAGAGAAGATACTCAGTGACTTGGAGGTAGTAGAGGAGTTAGGTTACGACTAGGGGAATGTTTTCCCCTCGGCATAAATAGTTAGAATATTTTTCAGCTAGGAGTTACTTTGCAAATCTATCCTGATTAGAGAAGATACTCAGTGACTTGGTAGTAGTAGAGGAGTTAGGTTACGACTAGGGGAATGTTTTCCCCTCGACATAAATAGTACTTTTTTCTTTGACCTGTACTGTGATGAAGGTTTCAGTGTTTTCACTTGAAGGTTTGATTTGGTCAGCCTATTCCTTCCAAAGGATCATTCTTCTGTTATCGATAATAACAGGTCGGTTTCCGGCTCAACTCTAATTCACTCTTGCCACTCAACCTAAAGGCTTTAGCCGTGTGGGTTGATTTATTCGTTGTGTTTTTACCCGTACTTTAATTGAGTGGCCATTTATTAAAGGTACTGAGTACTTTATTTTGAGAGTTGCGCAAAGAATGAGGCTTGTGTGGCTAAGGCAAGGGGTGTGAGCGCAAAGAATGGTTGAAGTTGACCCCGTGTAGCGTGTGCTCTGTTGACATGGATCGTTGATGTGATTGCAGGTATGTTCTGTGAATTGAAGTCCAGACTGGGTTTTGCGTATGATTATACATGTGTATATATAGTTGAAGGAAGCCACACCGTGATTGTGAGAGTGATCGTTTCCTATCTCATAACTCTTATATCATGTTTCTTGTGTCCGCTCGACCCATGGAGGTCGTGCATAAATGATTAATTAAGCCTTGCACTGAGAGAAAATGAAGGATCCCCTCTGACCTTTTGCGTTTAGAATTAACATAGTTGGACGTTGGAGTCCGTGGCAGCCTTCAAAGTCAAGCCCCCTGATTTTTGGCTACCACAACAACTCTAAAGTTGTCTACTTAACCCCTCTGCACAGGGTGCAGCAGAGGGTGTGGTCTTCAACCGCACATGGCGGTTGTCTGGCATCGACAAATTACCCCTCAAAGCGCCTGTCAGCCGACACTTGAGCGTCGAACGCGACCCTCGAGATTATCAAGGGCCGCGAGGCTACGAGTACTACATAGTACCCCATCAGCGTGAGTGCTTGCGTATGCCCGCATGGCTGGTTGATATGAGGAGGCCATGCGCTCGCTCGGTACTTATAAGGAAATCCAGCGCGCGATACGTATCTGATTCTTGCTGCATAGAGTTATGGGTCGGATACTGAAGGGACTAGGAGTATTATTGTGTCGTGGTATTGTTTGTAGTGGTTGTTTTGTGTGCGTCCATGTGTTATGCGTGGTAAATGTGAGTGTTGTGGCGTAACGCGTGGTGTGTAGGGTGCGTCCTAGTCGACCGACGGAGGGTCGCGCTTGGGACTTCAGCCCCCCAGTGCGTCGATTCGCATGCGGGTTCGATCTTGGGCGTTCGACCGTGCGTACCCCCTATGCTACAGCAAGCGAGAAATGCCCTCGGTTGGGCCACCTCTGCAATTGCATACGAAAAGTTTTCGCATGTGGTTCAGTAGCTCGGCGGGGATACGCCCACCTAAGGGATGGTGACAGCTCCCACAGGTGGAGGTAGCGGTGCCTCGCATGACCCTGTTCTGTCGTAGGGGCTCGCGAGAGGTACGGCTGGCGCACTCGGTCGGAGCGGCAACACGCTCATCCGCGATAAATCCTGCCAAATCTTGCGTGACGCGGTCGGGAGGGTCCCCGTGCGGGACCGATGCGCTCGACAGCGTGGTGGGAGGACTACATCGAACCCGCCTTCTATCGATTGGAGATAGAGTTCCGCTGGTCAGAAGCGGCCCCGTTCGGAGAAGGACCAGAGCACGCAGAGGACAGCGTGGAGCTTCTGATCATCCAAGCCTGGAGAACGGCGGAGCAGGGCGACCTGCTAGGAATCGTATTCGGGAAGGTGGAAGAGGGCAATCTCACCTTGATCACGGACGAATTGCTGGTATTTCTGACTCAGCTGGTGGACGATCTGCCCCTGGACATCTTGTCACACAGTGACAAGCAGCCTGGCACCCACGTGTTGTCTCGAACGCTCGAGCCGCACCTTGTGTGGTCCACGTGTACGGAGATTGACGAGGACAAATGTCTCTACCCCTCCCAGGCACTCTACTTGGAGATCGACGTCACCGATCTCACCTTCTGGGACCCGATCGCGAGGAGAAACGCGGCGCAGGACGAGGAGATAGGGGGAGCAGACGAAGAGGAGGAAGAAGAAGAGCCATCGAGTGAAGAACACGACGATCCAGAAAGAGAAGCAGGGATAGCCGGCGGATCGGGCCAGCCGAGCACAAAGAACGAAGGGGAGGAAGAACTGAGGAAGCGGAAGCGCCAGGAGACCCCGGAGGGAAAGCGACCCACGACAAACGATCCATTCATCGGGGATCCGTGGCGTGATCCGGAGCCGCCAAAAGAAGGAGACGATGGAACCGTAGCAGAGGGATTGCGGAGAAGAAGAAGAAGAAGTGAATCGCCACCTTCCTCCGGCTCCCCGTCCCGGACCTCCATTCGTCTACATCAAGATCTCGGCGTTCAGGGTTCGTCCCAGTCATTCTCTCGCCGACCCCGTGACTACCTCATGCTTACCCGTCTTCCCGATAGACCCCCATTCCCTTGATGGTTGGTGTCCTTTCCCCCATCACCTTTTCTACCATCTCTACGCTACCCGCCTTCTAGTCTCCGTTTATCCGCATGCCACCACCCGCTCTGTGGTTGATTCCTTTCTCCTTCATGTGCTCCTGTTTAGCGCAGACTGGCGAGAATATAACCACGTAGAAATATATTGTATTATATCTGGGATTATTCCCGCCTGTGAAAACTACGAAGATTTTCGCGCCGCCCTGCGACGGACCCTTTCTACCATCTACCCCGACTACATCGCCGTTTTTCGCCATCTTCATGAGGTCCCTCGCTTCCCCCGCATCCATCGCTCCTTCCACTACGCTACCCTTCCTGATTTCGCCTCCCCCGCCATCAATCGATTCATGCCCCCTCTCCCCCTGAACCATCCACCACCTCCACCCTCGATGATTCGACTGCCATTCCCCGGGAACGTCTAGGGTCTACCCTCCTTTTTGCACTGATGCATGGCTAAGTGGACACGTATCGTAACGGCGGCACGTGTAATCTCCCTCCTTGGAATGTTAAAAACCCACCCTGAGGAATTAGTAGAAGAGCAGTGTTGCCATGTTGGATGACGTCCACACTCAATTGAACGGTAAGTGGCATAGAGAGAGATGCTCCACGTGTCGATCGATTAGAGAAATCGACACGTGTTACAAGCAAGCAGGAGTTTGCTAATATTGGAACCCCCTGGGCATCATATATGTGACGAACCACTTTCTGTAACGCGCGAATTTCTGCGCGGTTGCAATGAGGGGTCCTAAGTTGGGAAGGTTGGGCCAATTACGAGAGATCGGGATCGGTGGAAAATTGCATCATTGTCCTTGCTTTTTCGTCTTTTTCGTCGCTTCTTTTCGAATGGTTGGGTTCGGAGTTGGGTGTTTCCTCGCATGGCCGGTTGATTGATTGGTTGGCTGGATGGATAGCGCGCCACCGCACACGCGATTAATAAATGTTGACGTCGTTTCTTTCGTTTCAATTCCAAACTTTTGGGCGTGGACATCGCGCGGGAATTTGCTTCGTTCTTTTTGAATTTTTCTTTTTTTTTTCTGAATTTTGTCGAGCCCCGATGACTCTCGGATTTCGGACTTTCCTTCTGGAATTTGCGCTTCTTTGCTTCTTCGCATTAGATAGGAATTTAGGAATTTTGTAATTAGGATTTTCTTGCCGCGCGGCGTCTTTTGTCTACGCGCTTCTTCATGCGGCTGCAACGGAACTCTAATTAGTAGGCGCCTTTAATCGTGTGCGTAACTGTAATTTTGGGCGGGCGCCATTGTAACTGTATCTTCCTTCTTGCACTTCGTCTTTCCCGCCCTTCTTCTCTTTCTTTTGCTACGCTTTTGGTAGCCGCGGTCTGCATGATCGGATCGATGCGTGGAGAGCGCCTACGTCCCCCACGCCGCGATCAGACCATGCAGACGTAGGCAAATCCCTCCCCCTTCCCTTCTTCTAATTCCTTGTAATTTCGTGTTCTTCGAGCATGCATGCACACTATAAATTCCGGTTGCGCGATTAGTTAGCTCTCTTAACCAGCTGTTGGAAGCTCGGGGTTGCACGATCAGGAAGGGTCGGCACACGATCGAAGTAAGAGGTGAGTAGAGCAGGAGTCGGGTGACCCGATGAGCTAGTGCCGAACGCGCGGGGTTGACGCGGGCCACGACAGACTTTGGGCGCGGGCGAACCTGACGGGTGCGGGAGGACTAAGCGGGGTGACGACTTCGTGGGTTGGTGCGCGACGACGGACTGTCCGCATCGGAGGAGAAGAAAGAGGAGGAGAGAGTGTTGAGGTGGATGGGCGCGGATTTGCTGATTCTTTGTTTTTTTCCCCTCCTTGCCTGTGTACGTAAATTTTGAATTGCGGCTCCGGGCGACTCGCCCGTTTTTTTTCCCTTCTATTTTTCGGAACCCGGACTTGGATTTTTGCTCACACTTGTCTTTGCGATTCCCCTCTCCGATGCATTATGAATGTATGGATGCCATGTTTCGATCGTTTCTGATCTCTGTCCTTGCCTTTGGGGCATCGTGTGTATGATTGCTGAGGATGCGGATGTATGGAGACTATGCTTGCATGTTTACCTTTTTACGGGAAATCTTTTGTCTTTGCCTTGTCCGTCGCATTCGATGCTCACGTAGAATAGGAATTTTGCGTAGTTGATTATTCTGTCTGTGTGTCTTTGGATCGAGCTGTTTTGTGATAATTGCATCTTGCATAACCGGAACATCACGGAGTGATTAGACGGCCGGATGCCGGGCTCGGTGAACGCCACACGAGGACACGTGTAAAACGCGACCCGAGTTGCGCGCTTACACGTATCTCCGGGCGTCAACTCATCAGGACCTTTAATCTGTCCGATTGGGAGTGGCCATCTCGGAATCCGCCACGGCGCASTCGACCCGCACGAGCACGCGTAAGCCCGACGCCATTCGCACGACCTGCACGTGATCGCACGCGGCGACCACGATCGCCGCGGACCCACCCTTAGGCAACCCATAATACCGCAAATACATGATGACGCGATCATGGGATTCCGACTCATCCTACGACCCAGATTACTTCACCCCTTGGATAAACGAAATCCTAAGGCAGCGATACCCCTGCCACACTGAGAATCGACTATGTCCTCGGGAATTCCATTGCGCCACCTCTAGCGACTCCCGGTGCTCGGATTTCCCTTTTCCAAACCATACCTACTACTTCATCCACCCGTGATTCGTCGTCATCACCACCAGTTTTCCTCCCTTTCGCCTTCTTCTTCCGTACCATCAACTCAACGTTGTTTCGTGGCCGGCCATAGCCCCCTATTGGCCCAGCACACCCTGCGAAAACTGCCGACGGCGCGGCGATCAGAGAACCCCGGAGTTCCGAAGGCCTAACCCGAACGCGCGACGACCAGCGCCGCGTGGCAATCCCCGACAGGCGGACTCATCGGAACCCCACCTACCCCGTCGGGACCCACCCATGGAGCGCCGTCCCCGGGACCAATGGCTCGCTCGGTCTTGAGCAGCCCGCGCATATCACCTGCCTTGTAACCCGAAGACGCCCTCTCCGCCAAATTGCACTTGTGCCCCCGAAAGACCCTGTCACAGGAGATCTCAGTTATGACCTGGGACTCCACTTTCCCAAAAATCCTTGGCACACCCCTTTTCGCACTTCCAGGCCCGCATCCTACTCCGATCAGGAAGTCCTGCTGGGCGTGAGGTTGGGCGTCACACTTGCAGTCCCCAAGGCACGGCCTTGGGCTAGGTGCATCAGACGCAGGGCCGAAACATGCCCAGGCGCATTTTGGCGCCATGCTGCAGGGCCAAAACAGGCCCAGGCGCGTTTTGGCGCCATACTGCACCCAGCACGGTCTAGGCCCCGGTAGGGACCTCGACCGTGCAGGCCATTCTAGGCCACACAACGGTTCGCCCAGTAGGGCCCAACGCACTATATAGCTAGACAATTCGGTCGCTCGCTTCTTGAGTGACATGCTGCTGGATAGAGGCTGCACTATGCTGCACTATTATAGCGATGCGCTGCGGGACCAGGAAGGAGATGCAAACGGGAGGAGAGAGAGGCGGAGCCTTACCTGCAGCGACGGACTTACCTGGCGCCATAGCTGGGGCTCCGCGCGGTACCTGCACAGGACGGCGACATAGTCAGCATGACAGTAGCCACCTGCAAGTGAGATAGCGAGGAGGGCGGCATCTTCTTCTCCCTCCTCGTCCTCCATCTCATCTCTCTCTCTCTCTCTCTCTCTCTCTCTCTCCCTCTCTCTCTCTCTCTCTCTCTCTCTTCCTCCTTCCTCCTTCTTCTTCTTCATCTTCTTCTCCTTCTTCTTCTTCAGTTACGGGAGTGAGAGAGGTTATCAGCAGATATTGGCAGAGGTTACAGTGGGCATTGCGCCCAGGATCTGCTTCGACATTTTTGAGACAGACATTGATTGGACATCGGCAAGAGACTATTTTTGGACATCAGCAAGGGACCATTTTTGGACATCGCTATTGCGATCTTGGACTTCCCCCTCGCCTCCATCTTTGTCTCTCCTCTCCCCCCATCTCGCATCTGTGGTATCTCCCCATGTGCGTGTACAGGAAGGGACCTTTCTTCTTTGTGTGCGGTCCCTCCTCCTCCTCTCACATGTGTGATGTATGATGGGATGTCGTGTCAGTCCCCATCAGGTCAGGACTTATATCCAAGTCTTCCACTGCCCTGTTGAGTGCCATTTCGTCTGTATCAGGATGTACATTGCCTGTTGATGTTGCACTGACATTGCATTGTCCATTCAGTCCTTTTCATCACATTGCGGATCCTTGGTTGCGCCTACATTGCCCAGCTGGGCATGTATCAGCGTGCGTGTATGTGTGTGTGTGTGTGTGTGTGTGTGTGTGTGTGTGTGTGTGTGTGTG